AACTTCCGGCGTGCACGGTTTTTAATTTTGCACTTAGTCCGGTCGTTTTTCCGGTGAGCGGTGCTTCATCGAAAATTGCGAATTTTGCAACACATAGGATGCCGAAAGTGAAGAATTATGAAATCCGCAAGATGTATTCACTCTTGAATTTGCTATAAAGTTTAAATATCTGTCGTGTAGTCGTTCAAGAAATTTTGCCTTCAACCCGAATTAAGATCATACATGAACATGGAACATCCCAACAAAGTTTCAGTTTTGCAGCTTGTCCAATAAGCGAAATCTCTTCGCTACAAATATCTTTGATGCGCCTGAAGGGTGGCCTTAGCGCAATTGGAAACTTTTATTGTTCTTAATGGATATCGTATTTCACCTCCTTGAATTTTATTAGCTACTGTGAAGGCAAAAACTTTTAATTTCAAATCAAACGATTACTCGGACAACCTTAAGAGTGGAGGGGCGCATTAAATAGGCAAGAGGTACTAACTGGAGATGTGCAGTCCACGATCGGAGGGTCTGGCATAGTTGCACTCGGCGTGTGTGCGTGTGGGAGCATCTAATTAACGTCACTAAAGTAGGATACTCACAGTGATAGCCTTAATGTTGTCGGTCTTAATGTTCTTGGAAAACTTTTAATTTGTTTTTTAAATTTTTAGAAAAATAGGAATTCACTTGCACCATCTCTAACATTTGTTTGTCCGTTGTCTAAGTTTTCAGTCGATGTATTGCAGCACTGTGTAATAAACTGCTTGACTCAATGAATTGCTGTGAGCATCTGGCTGAGCTGTACTGTAAGCAGTGTCATGGTCGCAAGTACGGCCCAAAGGGTATTGGTTTCGGGCAAGGTGCTGGTGCACTGACCATGGATACTGGGGAACATTTCGGTAACACTGAAGTGGAAATGACGTTAGTGTGATGTTCTCCATTTTATACATTATTTTTCTACATATATATGATGTAGTACGTCTGTGGTAAGCGTAAATGGATGTTTTTACCGGGTTTTGTTTGGAGTCGAATTACCTAGACAAATGTAACTTCGTTCCTGAGATACAAGATCAGACTTCCTCAGGCATTTGGATAACACTCATCATTTTGTGTCGTTCGTCAAACAAATCTAACAACGTATCTTACTCAACATTACTGCGTTCTGTAATCAGGATTGTATGTTACTTAACTTGAAGAACTGTTTGCACCGTTAAGAAGATCCGTCACACACCGTTTTGAAGAGGAACTTTTCCGTCTGAGAGGAAGAGCTGCGCAAACACTGATTATCATTTCGATGAGAAAATGTATCAGCATTACAAAAGATATAGCAGAGAAATCCTAGTTTTGTTCACGAGTGGTTGCGTTTGGCAAAGTGCTGCCATTCGGGTTACTTCTGAGCGTCTTTTCTCATTGTAGGAAATGAACGGTAGAAGTCAGGACCTGCTGACTTGTGTTGATTAGGGTACAGTTTGACTTGAACTTTAATATACTTATTAGCTTGCAATAATATATACACAAAATACACATAAAAAAATTAGATCAGTAAGAATATTTCGGCTCACTAAGTTTTATGGACTTTCAATTTAGTGCCGCAACTGAATTTCGTCAGTACAATTACTTTCCCTAAGATTATATTTCTGGTTCGGCATTATTTACTCATTACACATGACTTTTGACCTTTAATCGCGTCAAAAATCGAAAATCCCTTTCGCATTCCGTTTCTGTGCGAGTGGAAGCACTCGGAGGTAATCTGAGAATAGCAACTGCGACAGTAACGGTCCGCTGGCAGAGAAGGCTGTCGGCTGTCTTCTCTTTCGAGGGTTGCTTACTGATGAAGATTTTAATCATATAGTAGTCAAAATAAATTAAATTGTAAGCAATGCTCTGATGTATTATTGCTGCTAAAAAGTGTTGGCTGCTTGCCACCTGATCGCACCTGCAATAATAACCGCATGAGAATGGCATGCAAATCTTTGCGCGATAATGAAGAAATTGAATCCAGAATGATCGAAACTACTTGTGCATCGAAAGCTCCAAATGTATTTTTATTACCAATTTATTAACCCTGTCCTGTGTTTCACGAAACTTTACCTAACTAACTGCATGCATATGACTAACACGATCTGAGGAACTAATTTTTTCAAGGAAGCCAAGAGTAAAAATGAGTGTCTCGGAAGTCCCGCGAAAAACTGGCATATGTTGAAGAAATGATTAACATAAAATATGCTCAGTGAGCATGGAGACTAGTGATGCAATGATTAGCACGATGTATTCAGATGTGAAGACGATGGATTCGTTTCCTTTCCGGTCCATATTCATTTTCAGAAGGGGAAACTAATTAGAACGAAGTATGCTCTGACATTCACGCATCAAACTTTATATCAAGCTTTTATGGGCACGGCCAGGGTTTTTTCAATAAAAACACTTCCCCTCTGCTTTGGCGATTCTTTTCCCTCTATTTTCCTTCCTACTAAGCTAGACGTGCATTGATACAAATTGCATGTTACCCCTTTTCAGCTCTGTCTCCTGTAATTTTCTCGTTTTTTCTGTAATTTACAGAACTGTGTAATAAACTGTTGGATTCAACGACAGTTGCTCCACATGAAGCGGAACTGTACTGCAAGCAGTGCCATGGGCGAAAATTTGGTCCCAAAGGTGTTGGATTCGGTTTGGGTGCTGGCGCTCTGACGATGGACGATGGCTCAAAATTC